ATTAAGCCTCCGTTTGAGAAGTGGGTTAGTTTTTTGGCTTTTTGACTTTTTTGACTATATGAGCCTGAGCTCAAAAACTTAGTTTGGGAAGGGCTTTTGGCTTTTTTGATTTTTTTGTGAGAGAAGAGTGTAATGATTATGGGGTTGGATGGGATGTTTTGTTTGTTGTGGCTCATGAGCCTATTCTGTCTTTTATGGCTCATTGAGCCAAAAAAGCCCAATGAGCCCTTGCCAAACCAATCCTAAGACTCTGTTTGGCAAGAGCTAAACGGGGTTTTTTGGGCTATTTTAGCCACAAAAGACAAAATAGGCTATTTTAGCCACAAAAAACAAAATATCACATCCAACCCATAATCATTACATTCTTCTCTCGCAAAAAAATCAAAAAAGCCAAAAAGCCAAAAGTCCTTCCCAAACTAAGCTTTTGAGCCCAGGTTCATATAGTCAAAAAAGCCAAAAAGCCAACCCACTTCCCAAACGGCAGCTAAGGCATCACCTAGCGAGTAAATCTTTAATATTACTCTTAAAAATATATATATATATAAAAAAAAAAAAACACCGACACACACACACACACAAACAAAAAATCGAAAAGTACAAACAATAATCAATTCAGTAGGAAGAAAGTTTTTGAGTAATTTTTTGATAAAGTAGGAAAAAGGTTTTCCAAAATTAAAATTAATCAAATTTTTCCTAAAATAAATCATGTCACAAGTGAGATAAGTGAACATTCCAAATTAGGAATGGTCAATTTTTTTTTGCCTTGTTCCGCCCCTGCATCCCCCACCCCTCCCTGCATAAATTTTTCCCACCTCAATAAATAATGGAGTGCTCCTCTCGCTCCGTTCTAACCCGTCCATGCTCCGTTTATATTTACTAAATATATTTATATGTATATAGCATATAAATCATTTTTTTAACATGATAAAATTGTAACATTCATTTTCACTTATTTATTTTTCATCTTATATCTTTTAATTTTTATTAGTACTAAACTACTATCCATAATATGTTATATTATTTATAATTTTTATTAGTACTTTCATTTTAGAAATATAAAATTGACATGCCTCGCTCCCGCCACCAACCCAATTATTCTACTTCCGACATGATATGAATCAGCGGGGACAGGGATTACAAACTCATCCCAAGCTCGCCCTTTGTGCCCATCCCTATTCCAAATGTTCAAAAATGTATGTGATTTGATCAAAGTATATCAAGCAACTTCTTTTTTCTTTTTTTTTTCTTTTTTTTTGGGGGTACCCTTTGAAATAACAGCTAGCTATTAATTTGATGCAGATTATAATGTCATTTTCAACATATGTGGAACCTTTTTTATTTTCATGAAAAGTTTCCTATCTTGATGTTTGAAAATGATATGTCACCAGATGCATTTTACAGATTTTTTTTTTTTTTCTTATATAAATGCATCTCCATCAAAAAAATAATCCATCATTATTTTTCGAATATGATGAATAAGAGGTGAAAAACAAACTTAGTGAAATTCAGCTAGTGATATAAAGCAACCATCTTATTGTTTTAAACCTAGAAAAGTGTCACTGAAAATATTGATAGATGGCATGAATCTTGAGAGAGAAATACAAATGTGATTTCAAATTTCATAATTTCATCGTTTGGAATAAATTGAAATGAGAAAGTAATTCCTAATTACCTTTTCAAACTGAAATCACTAAGCAGAAATTTTTATTTCACACTTAAGTAATTTGTGTTTCTTTTCCTTGTTCTTTACTGTTAATTTGTGTTTTCTAGCCTTAAGGTTGTATTTTGACCATGAATTTGGATAAAAATTTGTAAACGAAAATGGAAAATATAAGTGAAATGTAACTATATTTCATTTACATTTTACCCACTTCTTTCCTTTCTAAATCCCTAACTAAATCTATGATCCAATCGCAGCTGTGTGAGTGATTTTCTGATCACACTACCCAACTCAGTATTCAGCTGGAGAACACTGGCAGAATAGATGACACTTGGCTAACTTGCAACAGAAAAAGAAGATTCCGGCAGTGGTTCGTCCACCGGGGGGCACTCCGACGATCAAGTCAGTATATCTCTCAAAGATAATCAATAGTGCAAATCTCACTGTTCAGAATATAAAATTACGTACCTTAAACCCATGGGGGTGCCTCTTTTTTATAGCAAACTCAATCCTAGTTCCAATAGAAGCCTATCTCTAATGGACTTAGGATTACTGCTAATCTTGGACTCCCAGTAGGATTAGGATAAACTCTCTAAGAGTCTTATCCTTTCCCAACTGTAGTCTTCCCCCTTTCTAGGACTCTTGTGCCTTATCCGCTTATCTCGAATTCCGATATCTTCGGAGGTAACCTTGGCCTCGCTGAGATAACCTCGGCGTCATGACCAGGACACGTGGCACCTCGGCTGACACGTCGGCGTCAGCTTAGCCACGTGTTGGTACTCAGAAAAATATCCCCACAACTGCCCCCTAGGTTTTATTACCTCGGTATTCTGAGGTGATGGAACCTATATCATTCCTTCCTGCCAGTACATCGGCTTAGCAGAGATCATCATCATGGGCTGATATGTCTTTTTCAGAGATCAAAAATTCCAAGAGCTTCTTCACGCGTATGAGTTGTTATACATAACAACTCAACCGTTTAGCCACGTGTTTTCTCCTTACTGGATCGTACTCTGGACGCGCTTATAAGTCGTTTTGCGCCTACATGCGCCGTCTGACGCATTCGCTGTTCCAGGCGCATTAATTGCCCTCTTTTGCCGCCATTTAAAGTTTTTAACAAAACTTGTTTCCCCCTTTCGTTTTTTTCACTTTACATTGCCTTTATTCAAAACTCTTTCTCTCTCTAGCTTCCTCTAATCCTCCATTTTTCCAAGCTCTGAAGCTCTGCCATCGCTACCGTTCACCTCTTCCGGCGTGGTTCTTGCCAATCTGTTCTACCGCCGCCGTTCTTCTGACTTCGGCGATCTCAAGCATCGGCTTCTTTTCTCTGGTAAGTCATCATTCCTCCTGGTTTTTAGTTCTTGTTGTGTTCCATGAAATTCGGTTTTATCATTTAATCGCCATTGCTGTTTTACTCGAATATTTGATTTGCGAATCATGTATCTGAACATGTTTATTTCATAATTTTGCTCTTTGTCCATGTCTTGAACACTTGCACTGTTCACATGCCTGTTGCTTTCTGCCACTGTTCTTGGCCTGATACACTTGTGCAATCTTTTTGTCTTGATTTCTTGATGTCTTTATCACCATTCTTGTTTCTGAAACGGATCCCTGTTTTTCTGTTTTCCAGATTCGTTCCTTCAATCTTCATCTCCATAGGTTTAGGTTTGGGAGTTGTTTGTAGAACCCACAATTTCTAGGAAAAACTGAAACGAATTCCTTCTAGATCCATACAAACCCTTATCATAGCATATTTGTAGATTTTTAGCCGAGGTCCTTTAAACCCTCCAAAAATACTTCTTCTTGAAATCCAATATCTCCATTTAAGCCGACGTCATGGGTATGTGGGAACATAGGGTAAACACCCCGGAAAAATTATGGAACTTTAGGCAGGAGTTCGAAATCCCGGCCGATGTTCATCTGAGGTTGGCTGGGGAGGATGACTCTATCATGCCCGATGAAAACCTCATGCCTTTCCCAGTGGTTGCGTTTATTGAGTGTGGACTTAGGTTTTCACTTGACCATTTTTTCCATCAAATCCTTCATTTCTATAAGTTAAACCCAATGCAACTTGCCATCAACTCTTACCGAGTTATTAACGGTACCATAGCTTTAGCCAAACAAGAGAGTGCTAGAATAACTCTTGCCGATTTCCAGTACTGTTATACCATGTGTCGCCTGAAATCGGAAAAATGTCATATTTATTACCTTAAACCGAGGTCCACTGAATACAAAATCATTGCCGAGCTCCCTGATTCCAACAAGGGAGCGGGGGATGATTACTTCATCGTCTCGGGAAACTGGGAGTTTCAGCAAAACGATGACCTCCATCTTTATCCCTTAAGTCGTACAGTTTTCGGGGAAGGAGCTGGTAAGGGCCACCCTTTACACATTTTTCTTAATTTCTTGTATAAAGTTTTCAACATTCTGTTCTAATGTCTATGCTTTTTTCTGTTTTGTAGTTCTTCCTCAGCCATCAAAGGGCTTCCGTCAGTCTTTCTTTCCCAGCAAAGACTTAAAGAAACTACTAAATTTACCAGTTCACAAGCGGAAGGCCCCTCTCACTACAAGAAATTGCACTTTTGGCAACAACTTTTGGCGACGGCGTCCATTTTTCATAGCCAAAAGTATATTTTTTGCGACACAGTGATGAATTTCGTTGGTAAAAGTAAACCTTTACCGACGCAATTTACTATCGTCCCTAAAAAAGCATAACATTCTTTAAGCGCCAAAATAATTTGTTAATGCCAAAATTTCAAAAGTTTTAGCTACGAGGCTTATTTTTTACCAACACAATGAGCATTGCTATTAGTGTGCTTACTTTTGGTGACGACAAGTTGCCGTGGGTAAAGAGTTAAACATTTAGCGACGATAATACTATTCGTCGGTAAAAGTTTTACTAGTGAAACAGGTGATTTATTAATTTGTGTTTTTATTTTAACTTTTGAAAGAGTTTTAAATATTCTAGTTATTGAATTGTAAAATCAAAGTGATCATTGAATCAGATCACAAAATGAACCCATTAAGGCCAAACATAATCTTAAGTTGAGATGGCTAATTTGAGTTAATTTAAAGTTTTTTAAAGAATGTGGTTAGATTACCAATTTCAACATGTTTAGTTTTATTTTCAAATTCTTTTTATTGTGGTTTTATGTTTAGTTTTATTTTCATATACTAGTTTAATTTTTTTTCCCTAAAAAACTATAAAAAAAAAATTAGGTGAAAAAATAAAAAATATACTTATTATTTTTATATAATTTTATCTTTTAGGTCATACACCACAATAAAATTGATTTTTTACGAAACTACATCGACTACCTACAAGACACTGATAGTGGGTTCTAATAAGAAACAGAGGGAGAAGAAAGACAGTGAATTGGTTGGAAGGGGAAAGGGTTTTCAAACTCTTGTTCTTCAAAGTTCTACTATCAATTGAATCGGTGGAGATTGAGAGGCAAACACGGTAGTCCCGAAGCCCGTTGGAGGTTCTTCAAAGCCATACACTGTGTCGACCTACACAAAACAGAGAGAGGATCTTGCTATGAGAGGCAAATGGTACACTCATCTTTTCGGCGGCAAGACTAATTTGACTGTAAGGCACTCATCTCATCTCTCTTCTCTTCCTTGTTCCTAAAACCCTTGTTTCGGCTCTCTCTCGCTCTCACTCTCGCATTCAGTGTAGTTGGCGGTGTGATTAGAGTGGCTGTGGGTAATTTCACTCTACCTAAAACCCTAATCCAACAAAGAAAGAGAAAAGAATTTGAAGAACAATCAAAAAATCTAAAGGTATTCCTCTCTCAATTGATTATTTTTGAAACACTCCCTCTCCTGAAACCCTATTTTCTCTCTCTGAAATCGTCCCTCTTGTAAAATCCTCTTCTCTCTGATTTTTCCCCTCTTTTCTCTATGTAGGGTTCTCTCAGAATTCTGATTCCAATCTTTCTTGGCTCTTACAGATTTGGTATTTTTACATTTGAAATGAGGTCTGCTAAAATTTTATTTTATTTTGTTTTTTTATATATTTCAGTTGACAATTAATGAAATAATCGATGAATATTCTCAGGCATTGGGTTTTTTACATTGATTAGTGTAATATTTTGGAGCCATACTTTTTCTTGTAGGGTGTAAAAAATGTCATATTGTTTTGGCATTAGATTTATAGATCTAATTATGTTCTTTGAATTTTGATGATGTTTGTAAAAATGCATTAAATTGTTAGCAATTTAAACAAAAATATTTTGGAACTATATTTTCATTGTGAAAACTCATGATTGATTTAATTCATTCATGCCGTTGTTTGTTTTCAATGAAAATAGTAACAGAAACAAAAAACCAAAATTTGAAATTTTTTTCATTCTTCGTCCTGTCATGATAATGCAATTATTTTGGTTGAATTAAGGCGAAAGCTATATTCTTGTATTACATTTTCGTTTCGTTACAAATTTATTGTCGTTAATTTTTTTTCTTGTTGCTGTGAACTTGAATGAATTTGAATTCAATTCTAAATGGCGACACTGGATTTTGTTCTGTTTTGTGATCTGTGCTAGTTGAGAAAAATTAAACATATCTGAAAAATGTTACACAGCACTCTAATTATGGATTTTTGAGCTTTCCCATTAGGTTGAAGTTATGCTGTTTGATTACGTGTGTTCTCTCTTACTTGCTGTCATGGAATTCAATGTGACATCTGCACTTTGGGAATGGTAGTTGCTCTTGGTCGTCTTTAGCATGCAAATGGAGTTAAACTCTTTGTTCTTGATGCTCATTATCTTATATAATTTTTGGATTTCATTGGAACCTATCATATGGTATAAAACGTAGTTACAATTCCCGTAAAAGTATAGAACTTGGTTCCAAAATGGTATCTTTATGCCAGGTAGAATTGTAGTGGCAGTAATTGTGAGAGGGGGTTGAAGGTTTCATATCTCGTTGACTGTTGTGGTTATCTTAGTGTTTGTAAATGATTATGAGTTACCAAAGGTAGGGTGAGGTGGTTTACTTTGAAGAAGTGATATTGTAGTACTGAAGTTCATTTGTGGTGTTGGGTTAAGATAGTGCCTAAATGGTGGTGGTAATGATGGCTATTGTTGTGGCAATACATTGTGGTTCTTGAGATGAAGGCATCAACAATGACCACTTTTGTCACATTGACCACTTTTCACTGTCTAATTTACTACAAAAATATTAGAAATTCTATAAATATATATATATATTACTAAAACATTTATACGATATTGACATAAATTTTTAATATTGTTTTTGAATCACTAACATTACTCAATTTATTAGAATTATTTTTGCCCCTTTCCATAGAAAAATTATATGAGCAGTTTTATGTTGTAATTCGCGATCTTTTCTTGAATTTCTAAATTCTAGGGTATATTTGGTTTCTATTTTAGTCAACCAACACTTCACCCCTCAAGAAATCCAGTTTCTTTTTCATCAAAATTTGAGTGTATATATATATATATGTATATTTATTTATCAGTATGTGTACTTTTCTGCATAATATGAAGTGTATTGAGTGAGAATTGTTTGAATTAGTGAGAGAAAAATTGAAAGGTAAATTGGGATTTTTAGGATAGCAAGTGTGATTTTATTTATGTTTTAGTCGTGTGTAAAGCTTTATATATCTATGTATATATAAAGATATAATCAATTGTAATACAGTGTAAGAGAATATTGATTCAGCAAAGAGGATCTATATATATATATATTTATAAATCAAAACAAACAAATAACAAACGATTTTACTATTAAAAAAAAATGGAAGGAGAAACAACAAATTAGTTTTTATTTTGAGGCTTGTTTTAATGATGTTGCATTATTCTTATTGAATGTTTGCTTTTGCGTTGTTTTTTTTATTTTTTATTTTGTCTATGAATATGTGTCCTGTTATTCACGTCAAAAGAATCCAGACCTTATTTATCACACAAAAATGAACATTAGTGTTTTTATCATAATATTCAGATGTACTAAATTTCAAAAATGAATATTAGAGTCTTTTTGTGTTCCTATGAATTTTGATGGGTCTACGAGAAGCTTCAACAACTCAAGAGATGATTCTCTTCAAGAGACCATATCTCTAGGTCTTGGATTTCTTGTTTCAGATAGGGAACAAGGCCAGGGAGGTGGAAGTGTACTTCAAGTTGATGTGGTGAGTTTTTCGAGCAGAACTTTCAGATTCAAGTTGGGGATGGATCTAGAGCCAAATTCTGGCATGATAAGTGGTGTGGGAAGCTATGCCTCAAGAGAGAATTCTCTGGTTTGTTCAGTTTTGCTCAATTTAAGGAAGGTTCTGTCAAGCATTACTTTGATTTAAAAGGAAATTCAGTAGAATGGGTGATACCGTTTAGAAGGGCTTTGTATGAGTGAGAGGAGTTGGGTGCATCAAGATTGAGAATTCTTCTAGCAGCAGCCCCTTCCCTCAGACCTGGCTGTGCTGATGTACCTTGTTGGGCAGCGGCATCCTCAGGTGTGTATTCCACATCCTCTGTGTATAAATTCCACTCTGATAGCTTTGGTTCCTCAGTTAGAGGTTGCAGGTTGGTGTGGGTGAAGTATATCCCACTCAAAGTTCAATTCTTCGGATGGTTAGATTGGAAGGACAAAGTAAAATCTGCTGAGTTTCTGCAGAAGATTGGGGTCTTGAGTAGCAACTTAGATATTAAATGTACCTTTTCCAAATCTGAGCCTAAATCTACTCGCCATGTCCTTCTGCTGTGTCATTTCTCCTGGCATATCTGGGCTGCTATGCTAAAGTGGTGGGGATTTGTTGGGGCATTGCCGGATGCAGTGGAAAAGGTGCTTATCTGGTGGGATGGAGCCAAAGTTAGGAAATCAGAGAGAGCGTTATGGAAAAGTATTCCTCTAGCAGTGTTGTGGTCTATTTGGAAGCTCAGAAACGAGTGTAAATTCAAGCACTCAAATCCTAGCCTTGTTGAAGTCATTGAGTTGATCAAGATTAGAGTTGCTATATGGGCGAAGTCATCACATAATCTAGCCCAGTTTTCAGTTAATGATTTTATCTTTAACATGAATCAAATTAGATTTTGCATCAGTGGTCATGGGCCTGTGTGACTGCTGCTGAGTAGTGGGTTTTTGGCTGCTGGGGTTGTTCTAGTTTGTTTGTTAGGGTTGTTCTACTGTGGGTATATTCATTGTTGTCTTGCTCCAGCTTGGCAGAGTGGAGGTTGCAAATAGATAGGCTGTTTGCTGTAGTGTCCTGCTGTGGTGTTGCTCAAGTAGTAAGGGGAGTTTTGTTCTCTGTATGCATTCTAAATTAAGGAAAGTGTTGCTGGGGCTTCTAAGTATTGCAGGGGTCTGTTGCTAACTGCTGGTATGCTAGGGCTACTTAGTGTGGCTCTGCTGATGGTTCTGCTGCTAAATGATTTCTGCTGTCATGTTTGTTGGGCTGATTTGCTTGGGCTACCAATCTGTCTAGGCACTATGGACCTGAACTGCTTGAGGAGTGGGGCTTTTGATTCTATTCCTTGTTGTTTCCTGCTGCTAAGAGCAGAATGTTAGCTTCAACATCTAATATTTTGTCTACTGATCACTGTATGAGGAGAGAGTATGCTTGAATCTAGATCTACTGCTATAGGATTATGTCTAATATGCATCAACTGTATGAGGGGAGAGTAGTACTGTGGATTGCTGCTGGTCTGCTGATGGAAACAAGGGAGTAGATCTATTCTCTGCTGGTCTGTTGAGGTGTTTTGGTGCAAGGGATTTCTGTTGTCATGTTTGTTGGACGGATTTCCTTGGGCTACCAATCTGTCTAGGCGCTATGGACCTGAACTGATTAAGGAGTGGGGCTTTTGATTCTATTCCTAGTTGTTTCCTACTTCTAAGAGTAAAATGTCAGCTTCAACATCTCACATTTTGTCTATTGATCACTGTATGAGGAGAGAGTATGCCTGAATCTGGATCTGCTGTTATAGGATTGTGTCTAATATGCATCAACTGTATGAGGGGAGAGTAGTACTCTGTTATGATTTTCTGTCTAGAAGGATAATGGAAATTCTATTTGAGATATTGAAAGGTTTTGACACTATATTGATGCCATTGTTAGAATGAACAAATTGCTTGATGACGAGAATAAAGAGGATAAAACGTTCTGAAATCAGGAGGCTCTCAAAGAGGTATTCACTTCTCAGACTTTTAACATTGATGTTTCTCTTGTCCACATGTAGTTTCTTGATCAATATTTGTGCATCCATTCATTTTTTCACCTTAATGTGAAACACCAATAATCAAGGAAGCACGGGTGCGGGTACGAGTACGGTACGGGTACGAGTGCGGGTACGCCGATTCGGCAAAACTCAAAAAAAGTACGATACCCAGAAAGTGAAATAGAGACAGAGTAATGAAGAGCATGATAAGTCCCCTATTAGAGTACTCTATCTAAAATTGGGTAGAAGTGGTCTTTGATGTTACAATTTGGTCATGCTCTTTTTGGTTTAAAAATTAATCTTTTCCATTTTAAAGTCTTCCTGGGAGAGGAAAAATCAACTTCAGGTCTTTTTTATGTCAAAAAACATAGAAATTGTTCAGTAAGTCATAATTTGGGACATTTTGGAGTCACATAGTTCCTATTTGTTAATTTGATCTAGTTATTTTTTCATTGTCACTCACTATGGTCTATTGTTTGTTTTGTGCTCAAAACAAATAAACTCATTGCCATTGCAAGTTATTGACATACAAGTTTTTCTTATTTATTGACCACATGCATCTATTTCTATTATCAATCTCTCCACACAAAAAAAGTGGGGAATGCTGCTTACTAACTACCTCTCCCAGACCCTAAGTAGGAGCCTTGTGCATTGAGTATGATCGTTTTTTTATTTATTTCAATTATCAAAATTGATGAAATTATGATAAGTATGTACCATTCTAAATTAAATATTTACTTTTTATTTCATTAGTATTATTTTTTATGGATAATGGGATTTGAACCTTGTCATCTACTCTATTGTAGCACCTAAGTTACCACTTAGTCCGAAGGACTAGCAGTTGCATTTATATGGTATGTTGTTCTCTTGTGTGTTTCTGGATTCAATTCATTCCTATGTTACTTTCTCAGGAAGAAAATGATGAAAATTACGAAGAAGGGGAGGTTGTGGATGTTTTTTATGGTGACTTTGATGATGATGTATGTATTTACGGTCTTGTTATTATCTGCATTTCTTAGACTTAAAATATGTCACTACCTCTTTCATACTACTACAGTAATAACTTCAATATCCATGACCACTTGAACGAACTTATTGTCCAATTACATGCTATACTGGAATCAGGAACCTGAACCAGATGAAGAAGTAGAAAATGAAGCAGATGACAGGTTCGACTTCCCCAAGATCATGGAAGTTTAGAGTTTTTAAATTAGTATGGTAACTTTTAAGATGTTGACTTCTGTTACAGAATGCGGACAAAGAAGATACTAATATTTCCTGGAAAGCAATTGCCAAAGAAGACGACGAAAAAGAAGGTTCTTTCAAATCTTGGAAAGGCTCCCCAGGATGATGAAGCTGCTGAGCAGTCTACTCTCCCTGAACATCATGATGGACCCGATGACGTAGAAGTGGAGAGAATAGTTAGAAAATCTACAAGAACTTCAGTTATTGTTAGGCAAGCTGAAAGAGATGCAATACATGCAGCTTTGCAAGCAACAATGAAGGTTAGTTGAGATTTCATTCTCGATGTGTTCTTCTGGAAATGAGAACACTGGGTTATGGACCTTTTCTGGCTGTGCTTTTTATTTTTATTTTTATTTTTTTATAGGGAAAATAACTTCATTGTTGTCATCATTTTCTGGCTGATGCTTGCTGGGCGGCTGCTGCTGCTGCTGCAATGTTGCTGTGAGGCGGCTGGTATTAGATGTTGGTCTGCTGGATAAGTTTGTGGGTGATTTTCGTGCCGTTTTGCCTGTCTTTGTTCGGTTCATGTGCTACTGGATGCTGGTCTGCTGCATAAGTTTGTGAGTGATTGTCATGCCGTTTTGCATATCTTTGTTAGTTTCATGCTTTCATTTTGTTATCTGATGTCTCTACTGTGGGTTCACAATTTGGATGTATTTTGGTATTTTAGTGAGTTTACCCTTTTAGGTTTTATACACTGCTTCTAAAAGCAGTATCAATAGTGTTTTTTTGCTTGCACATCAACTTTAGGTGATTTCATATCAATGTTATTAGTTTATAATAGTAAGTGCCTGAGGGATGCCTCTTGTAAATTTGTAAATCTTATAAAAATATATAAATTATTTTTAATTATTTTTGTTGGTAAATATGTCGCCAAAAGTTTATTTTTGCCCACTCATATTGTGTTGCTAGAAGTGTATTTTTTGCCAATGCCAATTTGTCATTGCCAAAAGTAAACATTTATCAACAAACAAATTGTCGGCAATTGGCAATATTTACTGACGTAATGTGTTGCCAAAAGTTTACTTTTGCCCACTCATATTGTGTTATTAAAAGTGTATTTTTTGCCAATGCTTATTTGTCGTTGCCAAAAGTGAAGCTTTATCGACAAACAAATCGTAGGTAAATGGAAACATTTACCGACGTAAATGTGTTGCCAAAAGTTTACTTTTGCCGACGCATATTTTGTTGCTAAAAGTATATTTTTTGCCCATGTAAATTTGTGTCGCGAAAAGTGCCACACAATCATCATATTTGAATGACTTTTACCGACGCAAGGTAAATAGCCGACGATGGATGAAGACTTTTATCGACGACTATGTTCGTCGCTAAAGGCATTACTTTTACCAACGCAACGATAATTTCGTCGGCAAAAACTTTTGCCGACTCACTTTTGCTTACGGGTTGCCAACGTAGCCTTGTGTGTCGGCAAAATTCTTTGCCGACGAATTTTCCCTTTTAACAACATATTTTGTTGCGTTGCGAAAAATGCAATTTCTTATAGTGTCTGCTTCTCAATTTTATCCTCACTTACAAGTCAGCTCTCCCCGACGTCCCAAAAAAGAAGAAGAAAAGCCTTTCTCCACCATCTGCCACAACTCCACAAGCCGCGTCCACATCTCGGACAGACCAAGGATCAACCTTTGATCCAGCTGAGCAACCTTCAACCTCGACTCCATACCTGATTCCACCATCTCAACGAAAACGTCGTCGACGACTTGTTCTTGCTGCTGAGATGGGCCACCAAAAACCGGTTGCTAAAGATCTCTCAGCCAGCATTCCTTCTGACGTTGACGCTCAGCCAACACAAACCCAGCCTCCTTCAAAGCCAAAACGAATCAAAAAGGCTCAGCCAAAGGCAAAGGTGCCTCAGATCGATTCTGAGGATACCTTGCCAATTTCCAAACTGGCTCCGAGTGAGAAAACTGCCTTTGTCCCTGCAAAGAGGTCCGCTGAAACACTTCCATCAAAATCTACCAAATCCAAAAGGCCGAGGTCATCTTCTGCAACGACCTCGGGGTCTAAAAAGCCTGATGCCCCCTAGGCCCCCGCAATCATTCTGGAAGATAAGTCTGTCATGGCCAATGATAGCACTGAGGACATTAACGTCGGCGTAGCCCTCAATACTACTCTGCTTCTCCCCGGCGATCTTGACCGAAACGCCGAGTTGAGCGAGTATGAAAATTACGTTCTGATGCTTCAACGTTCCGTTCAAGTAAGTATCTTTATCTGGCAACTTCTTCTTTTGTTTTGTTCTTTCCATACTTGTAATTTTTTCTAACAACTTTTATTCTGTTTACTTTCAGGCTATCCAGCACGTCCATTCTTTCTCAGTTCAATCTTTTGAGAACCGTGAGAAGCTAGCCGAAAAAAAGATGGAGGTCTCTAGCCTTCAAAAAACCAATAAAAATTTACAATCCAAGATGAAGACCTTAAAGGACCAGGCCTATTAAAGCAAAAGACGAAGCTGAAGAGAAAGTTAGTGCTACTAAGGCGATAAACAAAGTCCTTCAAGCCCAGCTGAAGGAGGCTGAGGATTAAGTGGCCCAGGCCCAAAAAGAGCTTCAAGACGCCTTGGCCACCAAAGAGGCCGAAATCAAGGACGCCGACGAGAAGGCGTATGCCCAGGGCATGGCCGATGTCATGGAGGCCTATGAAAAGCAAGTCAAGCAAGCATGCAACAAGGGTTTCTCCCTTGGTTGGATGACTGTGCTGAAAAAACTTGATGTCCCTGAGGACTCCTCCTTGAGGAAGGCCGATGCCATTCCCCTGCCATTCCCTCCAACTCCACCTCCCAGTCAATCTGACAACGAATCTGATTCTGGGGATGAGATCGAGGAGGAAGTTTTGGTAAGGAGATCAAAGGAGACTACTGGGACCAAGTCCCCTTCTCTGAATGGGCAAGTCCTGGACTTGACTCAAGATGAGGAGGGTGAAGAGGTCCCAAAAGATGCTGCGGCTGAGAGGACATCGATCGTCGTTCCCCTTGCCGACAAGAGCCTGGATAAAACTCTTGCAGAAATTGACGCCGAGCTCGTGGCGGATAAGGCTGCTGAGATATCTTCCCAACAATCGTTTGAACTTCAAACTCAACCAACTCCTACTGCTGAGGAGTCTTAGCCTTATGTTTTTCCCTTCTTTTCCTGTACTTTGTTTTTCTTTTTTTTTAAGTACTGTAAACTTCTTCACATTGCCGATGTATTTTTAATACAACAACTCTTTTGCTTTTGAATGCTTGCATGCTTGCTTTGTATGCCTCCATACTTGGAATATTTTTGCATATCTTTAACATATACTTCAATCCTCGTGCAATCTTCTCGGGGTGACACACCTCGGTTATACAAACTGATGTTTTACCTCGACAAGTACCCAAGTACTTTTCTTGGCATAACCTTGGTTTCATCTTGTAAATTTTTTCATAAAATTTCAACAAGTGTTTAACCTTGGCTTAACTTTAACTTGTAAATTGTCCATAAATTTCAACAAGTGTTCAAGCAATGATTTCGGTTTAACTTCAATTTGTAAATTGTCCATAAATTTCAACAAGTGCTAAACAATGATTTTGGTTTAACTTCAACTTGTTAATTGTCCACAAATTTCAACAAGTGTTAAACAACGATTTCGGTTTAACTTCAACTTGTAAATTGTCCACAAATTTCAACAAGTGTTAAACAATGATTTCGGTTTAACTTCAACTTGTAAACTGTCCACAAATTTCAACAAATGTTAAACAATGATTTCGGTTTAACTTCAACTGTAAACTGTCCACAAATTTCAACAAATGTTAAACAATGATTTCAGTTTAACTTCAACTTGTAAACTGTCTACAAATTTCAACAAGTGTTAAACAATGATTTCGCCTCTCTCTGTCCCCTTATGTGAACCTAAGTTCTACTTGGATTCTCATTATACATGTATTCTAGAGACAATGTCAAGTATCTTGAAAAGAAAACCAAGCTGAATCTTTATTTATTTACTTCGGCAGATGACAAAAAAAATAAAAAAACAAAGGAATTCTAATGATAGAAAATTTCAAATTGCAAGTGTTCCAAGGCCTTGGCAACTCTTTGCCCTCATTATCTTCAAGCCGATAAGCCCCATTACCCAGTACCGAGATTATTCTGGAGGGTCCTTCCCAATTTGGGCCAAGCCTCCCTCTCTGGGATCCTTTTTGTTGCCGACGACTTTTTCAAGACCAGGTCGCCGACTTGGAACTCTCTTGGGTTAACCCTCTTGTTATAAGCTCGGGCAAGCTGCTGCTGGTACGCTGCGAGCTGAATCGCAACTTTCTCCCTTCGTTCTGCTAGAAGATCCAGATCTCGGGCTAAGAGTACATCATTAGTTCCGTTCTCTACTCCCTAGGTTCTGATTCTTGGGATGCCGACCTCCAGCGGAATAACTACTTCTGTGCCATAAGCCATGGCAAAGGGGGATTCCCCTGTTGATCTTCTCGGCATAGTCCGATATGCCCAGAGCATGGTGGGCAGCTCGTCCACCTACTTTCCTTTTGCTGCCTGCAGCCTCTTTTTTATCCTGTCCAGAATTACTTTGTTGGATGCTTCTGCTTGTCCATTGCTTTGGGAAAAGATTGGTGTTGAAAAGTAATTCTTGATCTTGAACTTTGCACAGAAGCTCTTAATTAGCTTACTGTCAAATTGTGTTCCATTGTCTGCAACTATTGCTCTTAAAATCCCAAATCTGGTGATGATATTTTTTCAAATGAATTTCTTTACATCCACATCTCAGATTTTGGCAAGGGGTTCAGCTTCTATCCACTTAGTGAAATAATCAGTTGCCACCAGCAAGTACTTCCTTTGCCCAGTTGCTTGGGGTAGTTGCCCAACGAGATCCATGCCCTATTGGGCAAATGGCCAAGGACTGGATACAGGGTTCAGGTCTGCTGCTAGTTGGTGTATCAGTGGTACGAATCTCTGGCACTTTTCACATTTCTTCACATATGCTTCTGCGTCTTTTTGCATGTAGAGCCACCAATACCCCTGGGTAATGGCCCTATGGGCAAGTGATCTCCCTCTAGAGTGGCTTCCATAAATTTCTTCATGAATTTTATATAAAAAATCTTCCACTTGTAAAGGATGTACACACCTCAAAAGGGGTCCAATAAAAGATCTTCTATAAAGGTGTCCTTCTGCTGTCAGACTGAATCTTGCCGACTTCAATCTGATCTTGTGTGCCTCCTTGTGGTCGTCTGACAGCTTTCCTTCTTTCAGGAATGTAACAATTGCATCCATCCAGCTTGGTCTCATGTCCACACACATCGCTTCGCGCTCTGTGGTCAGTGGTTCGATGCTTGGGCCCGACAAGTAATCAACCATTATGGTCCTTGCTTTTCCAGGTTGTACCGCACTAGCTAAGTTGGCCAACGCATCAGCGTGGCTGTTATCATCTCAGCTTACCTAAAGTAGTCGGCAGTTCTGAAACAAGGCTGACAACCTGATGACCTCCTTTGCGTAGGCCGACATTCGTTCATCTCGGGCTGCAAACTCGCATGTTGTCTGGTTAAC